CTAACTTGTTGGTGAATTTATACAAGAAAAATGATCCTAAGGTTTGATTCTAATCATTATGTGAGTGAGTAGGATTCATGTAAGTCTCAAACGGGGTCCCTTTTACCTCAAAAGAACTAAGGCTAACCCAAGTGCGAATGTGGTAACCATAGAGATCATCGCTTACCTATCACGATATTGTCGGTTTTTCAAAAGAGTTAAGGTTTTATGAGTATTACCCGAGATGAAATCGATTAGGGCACTAGTAATTCCTCCTTAGATCTAAAAGCATATGTAGAATAAATAATTATGTAGCATTTTATGTGAAGGCACAACCTCATATCCGAGTCTAAAAAATTAAAACAAAAAAGATTGTAATTAAAAGGCTACAAGAGAAGACAAAACACAAACAACATATTCACAACACATGCAAACACACATGTAATTAAAATCAAAATTTCACTCAAGAATTATTCATATTGGTATAGAAATATAAAATATAATCGAGAATTCATTCATTTTATCAATGGGGCTCGTAGAGCTGGAGGAGTCACCACTTAGCTATTAGGAAGAACTAAGAAAAGCAAAAAAAAAAAAAAAAAAAAAAAAAAAAAAAAAAAAACCTAGCCTACATAGATATCCGAGTAAAGATTCGATTATGTATGAGAAAGATTTAACATCACTATCATCCGATGGTGGGCTGTATTATACGCAATTGAAATAAAAGTCTAGTTCATGTAATGTTATACTTTTATGCCCATTTGAGTGAATTTGTTTTGTTGGGATGAAATGGTAAAGTAATTTAGGATTTAGGTCGGTCCAAGGCCTACACCCATACTCGAAAGGGAAAATATTAGTAGAGATTAGAATTTTAGCTAATCTTTAGTAGCTATAAACATATACCGATAAATAGATGAGTCACTAAAGATTGAGAACCTATATTGACATGGACATGAAGTTATCGATGAATTCATTCACATAAGTGTAAAGCCACCAATAACTTCGGATCATGAGTTTAAGAAGCCACTAATGATTTTATTTATATAAGTGAAAAGCCACCTATGACTTTATCTACATAAGTGGAAAGCTATTGATGGCTTCAATTTACACAACAACAAGTCAATTTTGTTTGGAAACCACTCGGTGACTTCATCCACATAAATGGGAAGCCACTACTAACTTTATATCATAAATTTAAAAAGATATCAACGACTTCATCCATACAAGTGAAAAGCTTTTGCTAATTTTGGATTATAAATTTAGAAAGCAACATCCAACTTTATCCACACTAATGGGAAGCCACAAATGACTTCATTTTAATTGAATAGAAAGTAGAAAACCAACGCTAACTTCGACCATATAGGTGGAAAAAAATGGTAACTTCATTTCACTAGAACGAAAATAAGGCAATCACGCTTGGAAGCCATTGGCATCTTTGACCACATAGGTGAAAAGCCATAAATGGCTTCATTTCACTAAAATAGAAAAAAGGTAATCATGCTTAGAAGCCATTGGCGACTTCAAACTCATAGTCGGAAGCCACGGATGGCTTTGTTTTACTAGAACATAAAGAGATATTCATGTTAGGAAGCCACTTGCAGCTTTATCCATATAGGTGAGAAGCTACCGATAGTTTCATTTTAGTGAATATAATAATTAGGTAAAAAGGTTTGGAAGCCACTAGTGGCATCATCCATATAAGTAAAAAGTCACCGATAACTTTATTTCAACGAATAGAACAATTGGATATAAAGGTTTGAAAGCCACTCGAGGCATCATCCATATAGGTGGGAAGCTATTGGTAGGTTTATTTCAACAAACATAATAATTGGATAAAAAGTTTGAAAGCCATTGACGAGTTTCATCTACTTAAATTGAAAGCTACCAACGACTTCATTTCACTTGAACAAAATAATTAGCTCATTCATTGGGCATGATATTACATGATCAAAATATTACACCCAACATATCGTATTAATTATATCACTTACATAGGCACAATAATCAGTTTCAAATGTGAACACCAAGATCAACACTTATCCCGAATACACCATTGAAATAGAAACCCAAGTTCCTCCTTTAGCTCTATCATAAAGCATTGATCACCGAACTTATTGCTCTTCAAAATACACGAGGTCTCGACTCTTTTGGGTTCGATACACAATGGTGTATCCAATCCCACTTTAAATTTCACAAACAAAACTAAATATGCATTTTTAACATCGTTTCATCCACAAATAATAGAACATATCATTTACAATAGTGTATCAAAAATAAAAGAGCGTACGATGATTTTTTATTTTTTTACCCAAAAATATATCAAATGGTACTGAAGCTATTTGAAATGATACCGGGGTTAGTTTCACTCTTTTCGTACCTAATAAAAGCCGATTATTCGGTTTGTTGGGAAAAGAGGTTCGTTGCTCTTTGAAATGTTAAACATACTACTTTGAAATGACCAAAATACCTCTAGTCAAATTTGAAAAATTGGTGTTGGTGTGTGTGACACATATGTTTGAGAAAACTACCAAAATTCCCTTAAAAGCTTCGAAGCTACTACCAATGCCTCCGATCATCGTTTGGCCTCCTTTAAAAGCATCATTGGTTGGGGAAGGAGCACCTAGGCTTCTTCTCTCATCTTTTATATACGGTGTCACTCATGGTTTCAAGAGGAGGGAGATCGATGATTGGTTAATGACTCGCCATTCTCTTTTTTTTTTTTCTTTCTAAATACGATTATGGCCATGACAAGGAGTGGAGAGGACACCAATCGACCCCAAAAGACCATGGGGAATGTTTCTCTAGTGATTTAGAGATCCGATTTGACATGGATCGGGTAATTAGAATGACTCTTCAATACGAGTCATCGAATGGTTTATGCTTCGATTTAGCTTATTCCGAGTAAAGTTTCATCAAGATTTTTCTTTGTTGGGGGAGGTGGGGGGAAGGGAGGCTTCTAAGAGGATTAGGGATGTTTTTTATGGTTTCGGTTATTAATTTGGCCAAAAAACATCAAAACCCAAACGGGGTAAACGGAGTCGAGCATTGTGGCTCTTCCCTTGTTTTATGGCCTCCTTCGACATCTTCCTCGTCTCTAACTAGTCGGGAATGGTCGATTTGAAGATGGGCCGCCAATTGGGGGTGACATTGGGCGAAGGGTGGTGTTTTTAGGGGAGGAAAAGGTGGCAAATATGTAAATCAACCTATGGCTTTAGAGAGAGAGAGAGAGAATGTCTCTATTTATTTATTTTTTTGGTATTTTTTATGTTTTTCTTTTTTATGTTTTTTCTCCCATTCTGTTTTTTTTTTTTTTTATGGTATTTGTATTCCTAACTTAATTAGTCTTAACCTCTACTCGGAGCGACTTAGCCCCTAAGATGGATTATATTATCCTAAAATGAGATTAGGTTTAATTAAATTGATTTAGGATAGTTAAAAATTAAATTCATAGTCCCCATATTTTTGTTTTTATTCTTCTTTCTTCCCTTTTTTTTTTTTTTTGTGGTTCTTTTCACTCATTTTTCTTCTCGTGTGTGTGTGTGTGTGTGTGTTAATTTTTCGAAACTCCTAAAATCATGAGATTCCTATTAAACACAATATATATATATTATTTTCATAATTTTTATTGTTTTTTAAAAAAATATAAAACAAAAGATCCAAAATTGGATGATAATACTTGTATTTATAAAGACATAACCGATTCTTTAGCTGAAATCTATGAATCTAGTACATTTTTTAAGCTTTTTAGTTTTTTTTTAAAAAATATTAGATGGCGATTCTAAAATCTTTTTAATTCTTTTCTCTTAACCTAAATTTTTTGAACTCTTACAAATATAGACAACAACATTAATTATAATCTTAATGGTGTTTAGATGAAATTTTGACAACTTTTCATCTCGTCATCGATCTTCTCACGATTTGTTGGCTTTCATAGATAATCAATGATTACATTACTTAAGTATTTGTATCTTTTTCACTACAAGATCAACGAAATTATGATAATAGTTGGAGCATGCTATAATACAAAATTATGCTCCACTTAAGGATTAGATTGTAAATATGAAAAACTTAAAGTTCAAAATGAAAAGATTTTAAAAGTTGAGGAACCATTTTACAAATAAATGAAACAACTTTTCATTTCAAACTGCAATATGGCAATGGTTTATGCCACTGTAACCCACATGGCGTTTGAGGCTCATGTATTGAAGATCCGGTTCTTTCTCAACCAAAATAATGTTCCAAAGTGGAATTTTTGATGGTTTAAAATTGTACAAGTCATGCCTTTTTCAGAAGTTTATTGAAGTTAAAGAGGAGATAAATGACCAGTGGTAGTAATTTTTTTACATTTGCAAAAAATAAAATAAATAAATAAAATATGAGTATAAATTATTCTTCATAAAGTATTTGAATTTAAAAAAGTCTTATTAAAAAAGAAAATCAAAGTAGCCTCTTATCTTTATAATGATGGGCAATTTGGTAAATCATGGTAATATGATTTTTTTTTCATACTCTATTAATTAATAACTATTAACGTTAACTTCCTAACACTTAACAAGTAATGCGAACTGAAATGTCCCTATTTATAAAAAAATGATTGAAAATAACAGTTATTAATTACTCAAAACTATAAATATAAGTTAATTGGTTGTTTGAAAACAAACACTTTCTATCATTTTGTTATTACAAAAAAACTAATTAAATTCTTTCAGATTTCTAGGCAAACACTTTAAAGATAGCACTGAAGTTTTGCATACAAATATATACTTTAAGATTTATTCTGTCAACTAAAATCCATCTTTTACAATCATACACCAAAATATGTTCAAACATCGAAAAGAAAGAAAACAAAGCACCAGAATGACATGAGGTGGAATCTATAATTTTGTAACTGGAAAATTAGAGGTTTTATCTGGCTAGTATCATCTCCAGAACTATGGCAATGGTAACAGTCAACAACAACACCAAAGCCATCAATTGTCGAGTGCATTATCTTTTTTTTTTTTTTTTTTGGGCTAACGCCCCTATGCAGCCTCTGAATGTTCTGCTACGAAACCTTGCTTTTCTTTCGCAAATGAAAGCTCACAACTTGCCTCAACTGCATCTTCCACGCACAAAAATACGGATTCCTTGCCGATCTTCTCTAGGAATTTTGATCTCATGAATTTCTCCAAAACCTCTTGCCTGGGGTTTACAATTTTCATCTGCCATCGAAAAACAAGGGTTTATTTATTTAATTGTTTTGTTAAAGAAAAAACAGAGAGGGACGCTCTGAAGAGTAGTAGTTTATTTTACCTTAATGTTTTTGGCTTCTAACATTCTGCGCACTTCAATTAGCGTTTCGATACCTGTCGTGTCAATGGATGTAACTCCTATTGGACCAATATTTATGATTTTGAGTCAGCATTAATCTTCAAATGGACATGGAGTAGACGAATTTGTAATGTGGCAGGTTGATGCTGCACACAAATTAATTAACCTTACCTGTCAAATCTAGCAAAACATGTTCTACAGCTTTCCCCTTCGAATCTGAAGTGCTCTCTTCATTTCGAATCCACCGCAGAATCCTACTCGAGCATATATAATTAATTAGTTGACAACCCCCCTAGTTAGATTAACTTTTTTGCCTTTTGTTGTTTGAGAGTAATTAGTAAAATGTTCTGTATGTGTAATTTATCAAAGATCATTTTTTTTTTCAAATGTCTCGTGTGATTACCTTTCTCTTATATAGTTGCCATTTGCGTAGTAAATAGGAGAACCAAGTTGTAAAGCAAGGATTCCAGGGATAGTTGTGGCTGCAGCATATTGTTCAGTGTCGCGGTACAAAATCGAGTTTGGTATTTTTCCAAGCTTACAAGCCGCAGGTCTGGCCACATAAAGAAGTGCTCTCAACAAAGCAAGCGCAACCTGAAATCGGAAAAATTAGCTGTATCTGTATCTTCGTGGGAATATATATATATATGTGGGTTGATAATCCTTACCGACATCATGACGCCCATATCCATGGTTATGAATGCAACGCCAAGCAAAGCGGCTAAACAAATCAAGAAGTCAAACTTGTCAACCTTGTATAAGTGGTAAATCTCCTCATAGTTGATGAGACCCAACATTGCGGACATGATAATGGCAGATAGAGCAACAAGAGGGGTATAACTGAAGAGAGGAGCCAAGAATAGGAGAGTGAGCATCATGCCAACAGCCATTACTATGTTAGACATTGCAGTCTTACTCCCAGCATTGAAATTCACTGCAGTTTTTGAGAATGGTCCTGCAAATTAAAGCACGACACATATGAAAAAGACGCTTTACGAAAAGCTAAGTTTTACTTACGTTCATTTCTCAAACTCTTAACTTAAAACTAAGAAAGTATATGCATATGCGTATATACCAGTGGTCAAGTAGCATGAAAAGAAAGACCCAACGATGTTCATGAAACCGAAAGCAATCATCTCCTTGTTTCCATCAATTTGTTCATTTGTCATTATGGCAAAGCTTCTTCCAATTGCTATCCCTTCCTGCAATAATTATCGTTTTACTGATCATTTGAATAAAACAAAAAAAAAAGAAAAAAATGATTTTGTCAATGAAGTTTAAAGAAATTTAGCGAGCTTACAGCCATAGCAATAATTCCAGTAATGAGTCCGGCTTTCAAAGTGTAGGGTAGATACTCAGAGTTAAAATTCAAGTCTTTGATGCTTATAGGATTTAGCCCTCTATGCAGGTGACCAACCTAATTAGTGAAACAACAAAGAGAGGAAAAAGAATCAGATACTTTCATGAAACAAGAATAAATTAAACACGTATGTATATATATATATATACACACACGCTCGTCAAGAATATCTTAGTCATTTAATTAGATAAACTATCCACAGCATAAATGTTTCCTGAAGTACGTACGAAAATGTAACTTACTGTTTGGATGTGGTATTTGCTGTCACGAGTAAAGTATGCTAACAAGGAGCCAAGTATAACGACCACCATCGGAGCCATAGCTGAGACCCAAAATAGCTTTGGTTTTCGTTGCCTCTGAAAATTCACGTTTATACTAGTGTAATTAGAAGAAGACTCCCACATACTCAGCCACAATCACATGCAATTACCGTAATGAGAAATGCTAAACACACTCGGAAATAATAACAACGTTAATTGGTTATAAAATACTTTCATTTTTTAGTCAATAAAAAAAAAAAAATCCTAAATCTTCTTTTATTCTAACTGGGGTCATGATGTTTTTTTTTAATCATTTAATCCATTTAAAACAACAACACATATTTTGGAAAAAAAAATACTTGCAAACACTTAAAACATTAAAATAACAATCCATATTCTGAAAGCCTTAAACCATAGGACTTATGTCCTTGTTTTAATGGTCAAATGAATGAAAAAAATTTAATTATAGATAAAAAAATATCGAGAATTTAATCAGAATAAAAAAGATTTTACTTTTTTTTTTTAGAATACTTTATAACCAATTAACCCGACAACAATAGCATGTTTGTTGTACTATCAATTAAAAATAGTGTTAATTTGATAATTAATTATCATGATATGCTTATAAACATTTAAAATAACTAAAAAGTATTTTGTTTAATTTTATTATTGTATTTTTCATATATAAAATAATTTGTAACATATCAAAAATATTTTTTGAAAAAACTCATAATAAATAGTTGTATTTGTGATTAGGGTTGTTAACGAGTCGGACTCGCATCGGATCATAATAGATCTAGATATGATTTATTTAGTGAAACGAATTGGAATGAATTTTATGAATTCGAATCGGATAAACATGTAAAATTGGATCTAGATCCTAATGGACTTGGATTGAATTTGAAGCTCCATCGAATTTATCACTTAATTTTGGTAGAAAATTTATGATTATGACATTTAACATGTTGCTCAAATATAAAATATATTTCAATTACTATATGTATAATAAAATATATTAAGATAACATTTTATTTATTGATTTTGTAAAAAAATTCAAAATGTCACACAATTCAAAAGTATAAAATCAAATAATCTTAATAAAAATTTATCTTAAATTAGTTAGAAAGTATGATAAAACTAAAAGAAACAAACAATAAATAATTTTTATTTCTTCTACACGTGACATCAAAAATAGAGTGATGACAAATATAATAACACCAAATTTTGAATATATATGTAAGTTAATTTTTTTTTATTTTTTTTATAAAATTGAATTGAGAAAATGATAAGAAATTTATATGTGATTTTTTGAAAATACATTTGTCACTATTGAAAGATATGAGTTATTTAAACTTTATAATAAATAAATTCTAAATTTCAACCTAGTTTCATATTTATATTTTTTCATATTAATTTAAATTTTTACTATCTAAAAAATATTATATTTATTATAAAAATATTAATTTTAATTTCGGATAGGATTATTATTAAATCGATTAAGATAGATTAGGATTTGATCTATTTAATAAACAAGTTAACGAGATACGAATAATAATTGAACTCAAATAAAAAAATTATATACTAGATCTGTTTAATTAAATCGGATTTGGATCGATATTCAATCCATTTACTTTTTTACTTGTGATTATTAAAATGAAGGAATATCCTAGGTTGTTTTAAAATCAAAACAGTTTCCTTTTATACTGGAAACAAAAGGGATGTTAACATGACCCAAAACTGTTTTTAGTCGACCAAAAGCAGCCACATGTTAGCGTAGACGCGGACTTGATGTGTGCAAATACTAATTGTGAAAGATAACTAACACTGATAATGATGATGATAATAATAATAATAATCATAATACATGGCATCATCCGACGACATCATATGTTGATGTCATATTGATGAAGAGTGCACTCACCAGATAGCGGGTGAATTGCAGAAAAATAAGGAAGATTATGCCAATAACCGCGGTCTCCCATTTCCACTAAAAAACGAATTTGAAGATAAAACCGTTAGCTTAATCTCAAGTGTTGAAAAAATGATTAGCTATATCTGTCAAACTGATGAAGTGAAAGTTATAACCAAATTGGATGATCCATAATATATCCAGTTGCCAAATTGTTATTATCTCCATTATCGTCAATTCAGAAGTACAAAGGAGAAGAAAAAAAGGAAGAAAAAACTGGGAGTTCTGTTAATCTTTTGTTGTGCGAACCTCATGTCTATTTTTGAAAACTGCATGCAAAACAGAAACCACATCTGTTTTGGTGGTGAAATGAATTATTCCAAGCAAGCCCTTCAATTGCTGTAGGCAGATAATAATTGCAGTCCCTCCCATGAAACCAGTGATGGTGGAATGTGACAAGAAATCCACCAGAATTCCCAGTCTGCAATACTCAGTTTGACACGAATAAAAATCTATCAGCAATTACAATTAATTAATATATGTAAATAGGATCATTTAATTTATTTTAATTTGTGTCAATATATACAAGAATATTTTGAGTGCATGCATCATGGAAATTACATTATTTGTTTTAAACTCACCTTAGAAAACCTAAAGCAGCCTGAAAAACTCCAGTGATGAAAGCGGTCGTCATGATTAAGTTGAGGTACAATGTTGGATCATCTTTAGATGATACTTTGGATCCAATTGTATCTGCCAGTAGCAATGAGCACGCAGCTACTGTTCCGACTGCCAGATGTTTCGAACTCCCGAAAATTGCATAAATTAAAGGAGGTATAAAGCTGGAGTCTGCACCAAAATCATGAAAGAAATCACAAACAAAAAATAACAACAGAAAAAAATAAAAAATAAAAGGAATAGTAAAACAGTGAGATTACACAGGCCAATGATTGGAGGAATTTCAGCGAGTTTGGCATAGCTGATTCCTTGAGGAATGGCAAGGCTGGTAATGGTGATACCAGCAAGAAGGTCGAATCTAAACAACTTCAAATTGTATTGAGGGAGCCATTCAAAAATTGGAACAAAATATTGAACGGCTTTCTTGGCTTTAACGAAAGGCTTCTCATTCTTGAACTCCCTGAATGGATCATCAGGGAAGAATGTCTCTTTACATTTAGATTTCAATGTTGTTCGAAAATTTCTCGGAGGGTCGAAGTTCACCTGGTTGGTATTCATCCTGGAATTGTGTATGGTGATGTGATGGGAAGTATACGGAGCAAGTAAATATATAATGGCTTCTAACTCTCAGTTAGATTTCTCAATTTAGGTGGTGTGAGCTAAAAACGAGGTGAGCTTCGCATTTATATCGAAAAAGAGGAAAAAAAAAAAAAAAAAACGAAACAATAATAGCATTTAGTTCTAGTTACTGGGGGAATGCTAGTAAAAGATTGGATGTAATAGGCGAATTTCCCCATTATCCTCTCCTGTTTCATTGGACATGACAACTCATTTCCTCTTCAAGTTAAATAAATGATTAAGATTTTATTATATCGTTTTTCTTTCCTTCTTTTTCCTGCCTTTATATCTAAAAATTTATGTCTATATAAGAAATTTAAGATCATATTAATGATTTATTATTATTTTGATTGTTGAAGTTATATGCTCTTTTAATTAAAAAAAAAAAACTTAAATTAAAGGAGAAATGCCCTACCATGTTCTTATATAATAGGATCATTGTAAGTTATTCCCTCTAACTTTGCAAAATGAATTGATATTTTTTTTAGTTTCAAAACCTAATTAATTAGTCTCTATATTTTTTAATTTATTTGCAACTTAATCATTTTGATTCTTTTTCAATTTATTTTAAAAAATAAAAGAAGGAAAAAAAAGTAAAAAAAATTATAGAAAGATTGACAACAAAAGAAGATATTTTTTGAAAAAATTAAATTAATCATAGTCAATATTGGTCAATGGATGAATTAATTAATTTTTTAAACAAGAAGGATAAAAGGAAATTTGGTACATGCTTTGAAAAAAAAAAAGCCTAATTAATTCTTTTTGCAAAGATAGAGGGACTAGTTTTCTAAATTTTTCAAGTGAAATGCAAACCTAACCTTATTTATTACAAGAAAAAAAAATGGATTTTAACCACTTGAAAATTCTTTTTTTTTTTTTTGGCTTTACTTTTTTTAATAAATTAGGTGGGTTTGAATTTCTCAAATTAGCGTATTTTCATTGGAGAAAACTACAAATTTGAGTTCTTAATCTTTTATTTTTATTCTATTTGATTACCTAATCTTTTATTCTATCTATTTGAGTATCTAATTTTTGATTTATTTTATTTAAATTCCCTCCTCACTTGAGATTCGAAAATACCGACATGATCAAGATTAACTAACACACCACAAAAACTAGTCTTGCTCATATGTATTGAAAAAAAATATAAAATATAAAAGAAAACAGGTTCTAGAAATAATAATAATAAAAAAAAAACTAAGAAAAACAAATCAAAATAGTAAAAAAATTGAAAATGATAACTTGAATGGGATGAAAAGCTATTTTTTGTTTTCAAATTTTTTACTATTTTGATTTGATTTTTTTCCCAATCTTAAGAACCTATTTTCTTTTATAAAATTTTTATTCTTTTTTTTTTGTTTTTTTTCAATAAATACAAGTGTGACTCACTTTTTCCTTTATGTTAGTTGGAGACTGCCACATGTCAGTTTATTCTGGCCATGCTATTACTTTTAAAATTGGCTGTCATAGGAAATTCAAAAAAAAAAAAAAAAAAAAAAAGATTAGACGCTCAAATAGATAGAATACAAGATTAAGCACTCAAATAGAATAGTTTTCTCATTTTCATTAGTTTGCATAAAAATTTCTACTAGAAGGATACGTTGGCTAATGATATAAAATGTAAGGACAAATTAAGGGTAATTAGACTCTTAATGATTGATTGGAGACTGAATTTAAAATATAAGAACAAGTTGGGAATTCTTCTTTTACCTTAGGGTCAATTTCAATATAATATTAAATGATACACATGTCATGTGACTAGTTTTGTGACTAGTTCTAATAGTTTAGCAAAAAAATATCACAAGAATAATAAATGAAAATTCACTTATTTCACGTAGACACAATTGACTCAATAATTAAGGATATAAGGAAATATTGAACATGGGCTCTGTTATATGAAGGTAAACAAGACCATTTCTCCTAAATTAAAGTTCAAAGTAAAACTATAACAAGTTTAATTTGTAAGATTGCCAAATTGCAATTTAGTATATTTAGTGAAACATAAAAAATTTGGTGAAAACATTTGTTTTCCTTAGATGAAATATATATATATATATAAAAGAATAGAGTTGTTATAAGATATCTTTCTTGGATTTGTTTCTTTTTTAAAGTATTTTGTTAATTTAGATTTACATAAATTAGGAAAGCATGCATAAAAAGAAAGAAAAAATTAAAAAGAACTTTTATCTCTCTAACAAAATATCAAATAAAACATATATATATATATATATATATATATATATATATATATATATATATATGTTTTATTTGATATTTTTTGTATATATATATACACACACTCTTATCTCATTTTTATGATTTTTTTTTTTTTTTTTTTTTGAAAATTGTTTTTGACGATTTTTGAATTTTGAACCTCATTTAACGTGGAAATTAATACGATAAGTGATGACGAGATGATTCAACAATATATTTATGTTACGCATGTAAGCAATTAACGGACGGACAACAAAAATCAATGAATAATGCTAGGGGTATTAAATTTTTTTACTAAGTAATGTGTCATTTGTTGCACAAAAATATTTTCAAATCATATGAATCTCATTTAATTTAATGATGCAATGATAATTATCAAATGTATTAACTAATGAATCACCAATCACATGTTGCAAATCATTTAGTGAAACAATCTTAGTCAAAAAATAAAAATTAAAATTAAGTATCTCTAGCATTATTCAAAATCAAATCATCGCAAAATTTGGTGTGGATGGTGCTAAAAACAATTACAGAAGAAATATTATTTATATCATTTAGACATGGATATATCGTTTTTTTTTAAAAAAAAAAAAGAGTCAAGCATTATGTAGTTGTAAGTTATAATAGGTATAAAAATCGATGCAGCAGACTTTCTCAATGATTTATCTCCAAGATACAATAATCTAATTATTTGTTGTCTGATTCAACTCCAACTCTGCATAAATAAGTCCAAAGCTTCATTATATAAAATACTCTTTTTTAGTTATTAAATACTCTCAAGAATGTTATTTAAGTGAATATATATCAACTAATTATTGGCTTGAGGGTTTTTTTTTTCGAATGAAGATGTTTATTTATGTTTTTAGGATGTGTAAATAACTTACAACATTACTTAATTAAACTATCCTAAATCTTTTTTTTTAATTTAATTTAATATCACTTTTTGTTATTCATTTATGTTGATTAAGTTATGCTTAAAATTAAATGTTAGAATAGGTGTAATTATATCTAACGCCACTACCAAGATAACCCCTTCACCAGATCAATGCATGAGCGGTGGGCACTTCTGTTTTCTTCTTTTGTGCTTTCCATTAGCGCACCCTTGAAGATGAATATGCTGGGAACAATGATTGATGCAGTTGAAATGGAAACTGAAAAGCTAGTGTGGCGACTAAAGATTGACACAACAAACATTAACCAATACTTACGTTTCAAACTTTGCATATATGGATTGATTTGAATCTTCCTTTTTTGAAGTGTTAAACACTAGCTAGTTAAAGCTAAATATTTTAATTTGGTTAACTGAGGGAGGCTTCATTCGGTGGTTTAGACATCACAAATCTCTAATTTAAATCCAACTCTCTATTTTGGCTGTTTCGAGGAAGCAAAAATCTTCACGTTATATATGTGGATGATTTTTGGACATTTTGGAAAGTGGATATCCATGATTTTAACAGATGTTTTTACGTTTTAGCGGCTATCCTTTCAATTGATTTGGCTAAAACTGATTGACAACCATTTCTAACGTTTCCAAATTGAAGTCGATATATTTGTCAATCATGTTTTGTTAGGCTACCACGGTAGAATTTTGGTCTATCAATTTTCGTTTTTCAAGAATTTATGTTGCAATTCAAAACTGTTATAGTGAAATTTTGATTTCACATACTAATCCATATAAATCGTTGTCCAAATCGTTGCGTATGTTTTAAATAAGTTGCGCTTTATTTAAGGTGCAATATACCAAACTTTTATGCAACTGTCAAGAACCATTACTTATAAGAGTTTTTAATAAGCTATAATACTTGTGGATTTGATCAGCTATGTACTAGCAATGTTATCAACAAAAATAGGCAATAAGATATTAATTTTACACCATCAAAGACACTTTGAGATGCTAAGCTAGGTTGGTTTAATTTGTCTTTATATAATACTATTGTGTATTGAATATAAGGTAATGGTTTGTTAGTAGCAGTTCTAAATTTGTTGCTGTTATCAATGTATGACAACGGTTTGGTAGCATTTCAAAACTATTGTAATGAAATTCTGATTTCACATACTAATCCATATAAATCATTGTCCAAATCATTGCATATGTTTTAAATAAGTTGCGCTTTATTTAAACCGCAATATACCAAACTTTTATACAATAGTTTAGAACCATTACATATAAGAGTTTTTAAAGTCCATCTCAAAATAACATCATATTATTAACTTGCAAAACCCTTGTTTCTTTCTTTCTTTCTTTTCTTAAAAAATGGCGCTCTATCTTTATCACTAAATTCCAGTTTCTCATTATCTCTCTTTGTCTTAATTTTGATATCTATCACTAAAACGTTAGTGCATCTCATTTTCTCAATCTATCACTAGATTCAATGTTCTCTAGACATGGTTTTGATTCAAGTCTAGATAACTATATGAATTAGGGAAAAGTTCTTGATTTTCTATTAAGGATTAGGCGAAATTATGTTAAGAAAAAATTTTTGTCTTCCTTTTTTTTTTTTTTTTCATCTCATTTATTGACATATACACTAACATAAGTACGTAATTTTCTTTCAGTCTTTCTCCTTAAGTTTGGTATTGTTCAATATCATTCCAATTGGTAATAAACTTTGTTTTTGAAGAATTTTTGTTGAATCAAGACTTTATCATTCAATGGAGACATTATCTTAACTCAACAATCCAAAAATAAAGTACAATCTCTTTCAATCCTTCCATTAGCCACTAAA